GGGGGGGGGGGGGGGGGCAGAGAGCCACACTAGGCGAGGGGCGGAGAGGGGCGGAGCTGGTGGGGAGAGGCGGTGCCGCGTTGAGGACGACTCGTTCAGGCTCGATCATCAGGTCGAAGAATGAGCGGAGCGCGGCGGCGGCGAGGCTGCCGCCGCCGGTCGCACCGGAGGGACGCGCGTCGGTCGGGGCATGCACTCCCCCGCCTGGCACGTGTGTGTGGGGGGGGAGGGGGGGAGTGGCGTCAGAAGCCAGCTCTCCGGGAAGGGGCCGAGGGCGTCGGTGGCAGCAGCGCCGGCTAGAGAGCGCCCAGACCGGGCCCTGGCGCGGCTCTAGCAGCCCTCTCACGCTCGTGTGCGCAGCAGGGTGGGCAGAGGAGGCTTCTCGCAAGCGATGCACCTGGCAGCGACAGGATGGCTTGGCGCTCCTCGCGCAGCGCGTCGTCGCCGGCGGCAGAGACGAGCGCGGCGTTGCTTGCGTCACATTCATCCGACGGCGGCAGGCTCTGCGCGTACACGTCTGGGACCCGGTTACCGGCGACACCATGCCCTTGCATTCGGTACGAGGAAATCCTGAGCTGCTGCGCCGTGAGCTGAGCGGCCGATTTGCTGGACAGTTTGGCTTGGGCGTTGCGCGTCTCGACTAGCTTGCATTGCTCCGCCTGTGCACGTAGTAGCGCATCGGACCCGCCGCCCGTCCATGCCGCCGCTCCGCTCATCTTGCAAACCGGGCTGCCGGAGCAGCTCGCCGAGGGCGATGGCGGCCGCTGGAGCAGCTCGCCGAGGGCGATGGCGGCCGCTTTAGTAGCCGCGTCCAGCCGGCTGGGGCAGGGTCCCCCGCGAGGTAGGATTCCTATAGTGCCCCAAGTGCTCCAAGTGCCCCAGCGGATACCAAGGCCCATCGCGCGACTCGCCCGGCGGGCCGGATGCCCTGTGCCCCCGATACCCATACCCCGCCGACACGCCACGTGCAAAAGATTGGGGCTTGAAATACTCGAGTACAAGTCCGCCGAATTTAAGATTTTAGAGGCCGGCCGCAGGCCGGCGATTTTCAGATTTTAGACCAATATTTTAGAGTTATGGAGCGCATTTTCGCAAGATTTTAGCTGGAATTTCACACATTTTCAAGATTTTACAGCTCACGGCCGCCCCGCCTTCAAATCTTAAATTCGGCTGACCTGTATGAAACGGTGCCGTAGCTAATTATTAGCCTAATAACGACGTTATTAGACACCTGCTAATCTAGGTACGATATTAGGCTAATAGTTTGATAGCGTGTGTGTGTGCGCGCGTGCGTGCGCGGCGTGGCGCTCTGCCCCGCTGCCGAGGGCGCCACCAACCCGTGGCGGAACATACACACCAGTCAGTGAGGGAGGGCGAGACGATCGAGGGGTCCCGTACCGCGGAATCGACCCTATCCAGTGCTCAAGTGCTCAAGTTCCAGATGCTCAGAGAATAAACCGCGCTGTGCATTACCGCCCTCTCCCGCTTTCGCCCGCGCGATGAAAGTGGGGGGTAAAATTCGGAATGAATTTCCGTCGGCCGCAATCGACGCGCGGCGCGCCTCTCTCTTGCCATGCTACCGCTCTGCGCGGCGCCCTTGGCCTCAGAAGCATGCGACCTCAGCGCAAAAGTGTTCCGCGACCCACACATCAATTTCGCCTTCGGAGGCTCTGCCGACCTCCGCGGACGCCACAACGCGCTCTACAACTTCCTGTCTGCGCCCGGCTTCTCCGTCAATGTAAAGACCGAAGCGGCTGTCTTCAAGATGCACGGCGGAGCCCTGACCATCAATGGTACCTTTCTCACTGAGGCGCACATCACCGCGCAGCTCTCCATGCAGAAGCGCGCCACCGCCTCGTTCTGGGCATCCGAACTCGACCCCAACAATTTTGGCTGGAAGCCGGTTAACGGCACCTGCGTCGGCCGCCCATTCCGGTTCGGTTTCCACGGCCACAAGGCTTGTTTTGACTTCAAAATGTCGATGGACCACTCGAGCGCCACATTTGAGCTCGGAAACTGGACCGTGAAGGTGCACGGCAGCCGCTCGTGCAAGGGCTGTCTGGTCGCGGGCCCCGAGCACCGCCTGGACATTGGCTTCACAGCGAGAGGTGACGCGCCGGCCCGCGACAAGCCCCATGGCATCGTTGGGCAGTCCTATGCCACGCCGGGGCTCGAGCGGCACGGCAAGAAGGACCTCTACCCTTTTTCAGGCTCCTACACCACCAGCGCCCAAGCCGAGGGCGCCATCGAGGGCTCGGCGTCAGATTATCAGGTAGCGAGCCCTTACGCGACCGGGTTTGCCTTTTCGCGCTTCAACGCCGCCAGGGGCGCCCCCGCGTCTGCAGAACCCACCGGCGGGGTTGACGCCTCGTCAATCGATCGCATCGCAGACCCCGCCACTGAAGCGGAGCGCCGCCGCCTCTCCGAGGCACCTTGCCCGCCTTCGGCCGCCGGCGTCGCAGCGTCACCGCCACCGTCGCCGCAATCGCCGCCGCCAGCAAAACCGGCGTGCCCATACCCAAGCTACACGCGCAAAAGCGGGCACTCATGGACCGCAGCCAAGGCATCTTGTGAGGCGGATGGAATGCATTTGGCAGTTCCTGAGAATCCAGAACAGGACGATGCCATAGCAAAAGTGTGTGCAGGCGAATGGTGTTGGATCGGTGGCCAGAATCCATCTGGAAGCACAATCGCTTGGGTAAACAACGCTGCTAGCACCTACACAAACTGGCAAGCTAACGAGCCGAATTCTGAAGAAGCTGAAAAATGTATTGTCATCCTAAGGAATGGGCAGTGGAATGATGGCGAGTGCCGTGAAGCGGGTAACTACGTTTGCCAGTGTCATGCCCGGTGACTGAACAGTAACGATGGGGGCGGCGCCTTCGTCGCCGCCCCATCGGTAGCGCGGTACTATCGCGCGTCGCGCGTTGCCTTTGTGGTGTGAATGCTGGCGGTCTGTTTTGTGGCACTAGTATAGAGTCTATGGAGTCTACACAATCTATAGAACCGAGATAGAATCTAGCGTGCACCGCCGTGCACGTGTAGATGACCCCTCCGTCCAGCCCGGGGCGGGATCTTTTAATCGCCTTGGTGGTGTTAGTTCGTGTTAGTACGGCGGCTTCCGTGTGTACCACCTCAGTGTGCTGCCATCTCCGCACGCATCATGAGTCAACGTGTGCTCGTTCCTACGGCTTTACTCACAAACGACAGTCATCTACCCCGCGCATACCACTCCTCTTCCGTCTGATCCGTCGTCGCGAGTGATCGTGAATCTCAGTGATAGATGGACGTGTGGAGTACCGTGTGCCAGCGTTGAGTCAGCGTTCATAAAAGCTAACACTGTCTGCCTTGCCCTTGGGGGAGGGGGGGCAGAAAGGTGCGCCCAAGCCGATTGCGCTCGGGGAGAGCAATTCTTCGCCATCACACGGGTCGCCGCCAACGGCATCGCCCTGCTTAGCCACACTTATCTAGGTCTGCCGGCGTGGCGGCGGTGGAGGCCACGGCGGCGGAAGCGGAGGTGGCGGGGGGCGGAGGTGGCAGCGGGCGCGTGGTGGAGGTGGTGGAGGCGCGGGCGGCCGCAGAAGCCGGCCTCGGCGCGAGAGCGCGCTGGCGGCCGGCGCGGCTCTAGTCTCACATGTTACTTCCTGTTGTCTGTTGTGATGTTGTGCTCTTGGTTGTTCCTTTGGCACGGTGGAGTGCTGGGGGGGGCGACAGGGAGGATGTGGCCTTGAGTTATGTACTCTCCGCCGCCGCTGTCTCCGCCACCCCGCCCTCCCCACCGCCGCCAAACCCCCCGCCCTCTCCCTCGCCTCCCTCCCCTCTACCGCCAAGCCCTCTGCCCTCTCCTCCGCCTTCCTCTCCGCCGCCACCGTCTCCGCCATCTCCTTCACCTCCCTCCCTCTCCGCCGCTACCGCCACCGCCATCGCCACCGCCTACACCGCCCGTTGCTCCTTTGACGCCGACACGTGACTCGCCCGTGCTGCGTGCAGAGAGCGAGAGACCCGGTATCGCACAATGGTCAATGGACAATGCGATAATGGCAAAATGCAATAATGATACAAAATTTTGTCCGTACTAGGTTGTGAGATAAAATACACCGGAGAACACGATCGAGACGCGAGATACTTTGTATCCGCTGCGCGCCCCGTGCTCTATAGCTTCTATATGCCCTACCCCTAGCATGTCCGTGGGGGCACGCGCTGCGGCCGATGGCCCGCTGCGCGCTGGGGGGGCGGCCCTCGCGCGCCGGTTCATAGAGCGTTCGCGAGCCGCGCCGACCCAAGAACACGGAAGAGTGGTACACAAACTCGGGCCGGATGTTGGGCAACGGAGAGCGGCGTATGCATGGCGGGCGTGGGCGTGGCAAGACAAACCTGACTTGGAAACTGTCGTTCCCCGGTCCTGCCCCCCGTGGCCCGCCCGAGCCCCTCAGATGCCGATGCAGCCCTCGTTGTGCGGATACAGCGGGAGGACGGCGTACATGATGCCCATGTACAGGAAGTACGCGAGGGGGAAGAAGACGCGCATCACCTCGTCGAGCCGGGCGCAGTCGGCCAGACGCCGCTGGACCGAGGAGGGGAGCGCGAACTTGGAGGCGGGCTTGTCCGGCTTGTCCTGCTTGTCGAGGTTCGCCTTTTGGGGCAGGGAGCGCCTCTTCAAGCCGGCTCTGATCCTATGCGTGCCCCCTCCAGGTCTGCTGATCCCCACAGACCCTGCCGTGGGTGCTTGTGTTGACCCTGAGGCGCCCCACGCCCCCGGTGCTGTGATCCTGAGAGGGGTAGCTGCGTGACGCGATAGAGGCTTATCTGGTTCGCCTTGAGCCGCATGCCAGCGTTGACTGCCGCGTACTCGAGGAGGGCGACGAAGTTGAAAACCTACCGGATGGTTGCGAGGTGTGTAGCCTCCGACTCACGGAGGGCAAGGACTCGAATCAGCAATTGACCATGGTGCCGATCAGGAAGTCCGAGAGCCAGACGCGGTCGTCGCTCTGCAGCTGCGGCAACGAGCGATATACCGCGTTCAGGTTGTTAAGCACCATCAGGAAGCACAGGAAGGCGAGTGCGATCCGGGCCGGTGCGGCGGCGGGCGAGATGAAGAACCCCGACCAGGAGGCGAGCACCAGGAGCACGGCCACCAGAATGGTGAGCGTGCTGGAGGTGTAAGAGCTGCGGGTGAGCGAGAAGCACATGGTGACGGCAGATGTGGTGCCTGATCAAGAATGGAGGAGCGCTCGTCAGTTGAATGAGAGGGCACTTGCGGTGCCGCCCGACATGTGGCGCCGAGCGGGTTGCGGAGGGCAGGCGGGATCCCGAGAATCGGGATGGACTGGTTGCTCTGGCGGGACACTGGATGTGCTGCCCACTCGCCCGACGTGAAGGGGTCGGCGTCCACCTTCATCTGGAGCATCTCGTTGTTTACCAGCCAGTAGAGCTCGAGGTCCTGCGGCGAGGAGCCCAGCGAGGCGATCGAGAAGTCGCAGTACTGGATGTCGTAAGGCAGCTTCCCGAAACTGAACCCCCCGCAATACATCTCGACGTGCATCGCGCGGATCCAGTCTACTTTCCCGTCTGGATGGATGTACACGCTCTCGCCGTCGGCCGCCATCTTGCCGCTGCCACCGCCGACCGTGAGCGAGCGCGCATGTGGGAAGTTCAGCTGAGGCGCCCAAATGCCGAGGTCTTTCATTGCTCCGAAGTGTAGCCGCTGGCAGGACGCGTCGAACACGAGGCGAGGGTCGCTCCAGCTAGCGATGAGGTAGCCGTCGAGTCGGTACGACTTGGACACCTGGTTGATGGTGTGTATCACCGACACGTCTGTCTCGACGTTCACCCTGTCGGGAGCGGCTTCCGCCGCGCAGCTGCCCTCGAGCGCCTGGCCTGGCCGCATGGAGGCATCGTAGCTGGCCGTGAGATTCGAAAGGATGTCGCGCTGGGAAACGGCGGCCACAGTCGCGAGGGCAAAGACTGCCATTGTCGACCGTGTGGCGCCGCGGTGTTCGGCGTGGGCGGCGGCGGTGGCGAGCGCGCGGCCGTGAGGCGAAAGCCGCGGTCGCGCGCAAAAGCAGGCGCAGCCGCAAGGCTGGTTTTTCTGGCGCCGTCTTGAGGAGACGCCGTGTAAAAAAGAAGGGATGGGAACGGCGCGCGGAGACTGCCAGTGAGAAACTGGAGGCAGGTCGCCAGATGGAGATGAGACCGCCGGTGGAGTAGGGAGTCCACCGAGCACCGTGCTGCGAGCCTGTCGCTGTCCCTTATCAGGAGCAGGAGAACTAGGAGAGCGCAACCAGTCGGAGGCCCGCGCCTGCGCCCGTGCCGCCGGGTGCAACTTTGTCCTATACGAGAGGGGAATCCCTGCTTCCCTGGGACCCTGCTGTGTGGGTGAACACCCTGCCCAGCCCCCCTCCGAGCTCCGTGTCGCGATGCGCTCCCCACTCCGTTCATCCGTGTCCCTGATCGCCCTTCCAAAATCCTGCTCGTGCACAGTAGGCTGTGCCAACTGTGCAGAACGTGTGAGCAGCAGAGGAGCTGCTCTCCAGGCTTCTGTCGCAAAGAGCTGCATGCCACCGAAGGCGCTGTCGAGGTTCGCCGAGCTTGGCGAAATCCGGGGACGCCGCCACCGACGGAGCGCGTTTTGGACTTTTCACTCTCCGGACAAAGTCAAAGACCGCTGCACAGAGCGGACGGTGCGGGGTGTGTCCCCGTCATGGCGGCGAGGCGCGGGACCGTCTGTGCACTGTGGCGAAGTGGGTCGCGTCCCCGGATTTCCGTCAACTCAGCCTCCACACCCTCTACGTACCAATCAACTCGAGTTTTGTTGCTTCTGGGGAAATCGAGTATCACGGGTTGGTGAAGCAGCCGCCGTGCCACGCCGGGCAGACGATGCCGTGCGCGTGGAACGGCACAACTCCCCCGAGTCCAAACTGGTCCACTAGCGCGAGACTCCGCGCGTCAAACACGCCGAGAGAGCTCGAATCCGTCGTGGAATTGTACAGCACCGAGAGCAAGACCCCGTCGTCCTCCGCGGCGGCGGCGGTGCTCCCCGTCCGAGGCACAAAGTCCGCCTCCGTGACGTAGACGCCGGGGCGCGCCCACGACGCGGCGACGGCGCCACCTCCGCGGGAGACGTCGACCTTGACAATCTGGTCGAACCACTTCGAGTCGGCCGCCGAGGGCGCGAGGGCGTAGAAGAAGCGGTAGTCGTGCCGCGCCTTGAAGAGCGGGTTGAAGGTGGGGTAAT